TCTTCAACCCCTCATGCCAGAAACTCATCCCTTAGAATCCTCGTGAATTTCCTTGATTCGAGTACTGATCTTGTGCTTTCTTTGTACGTTCCCAATACTACCTTCCACACCTATGGATACTTTCCTTAAGAATTATCCCAAATCCTCTAAGTCACCCCCTAAAAAATTGCTAAACAGCGCACCCTTCGAACTAAAGCACTTATTAGGCTCTCCTATGGTTCCCACCTCATCCTGCCCCCAGATGCTAAAAGGATCCTACTAATGTCAACTAACTACTTCATGAATACAATTACATGCAACAATACTTAAACAGTTTTTCGACTAAAAGATCCATATCTACAATAATTAGACTCAAACAAAAGCTGCGCAATAGAGCCAAATCAATCATTCTAAAACTATTTAACATTTTTGGCATGCAACTTAACGTATTCATTTAATAGTTAACTAACATCAATATAAGTCCTACAAAGCACAAAGAAAGCAACATTTGAGCAACAAAACTAAATAGGCAAGGTATCATAAGGCATCTCTCCTAACAGGAATTCTATCATGCAATCCTGAGCAGCTCCTTATTCTCACTCCTAACATGCATATCATACTATAACACATATAACATATCAACATGTATGGGTATTTTGGGAATCACTTACTTGAGCTTGGATGATTGCAAGCATCACACCCCTTTCTTTGTTAAAAAAATTAGAAAATTTATTTTCTTTCAAAAATATTATCAATTCCTCAATTTGAGTACAAACACACCAGAGAGTGTGTTCGAATCCCTCAAACCAAGGCTTTGATACCAACTTGTAATCTTCTAAAAGTACCAATAAAAAATTTTCATTTTTTTAAACCACCAATGCCATACAAATGTTCCAAAACCATTCAAAGTAAAGTGTATCTTTCAACATCAGAGCAAAACAATAATAATCGGTGTTGAAAAATCCATCAGGGGATGTTGTATAGTCAAATCAGGCCCTTCTATTTGGAACTGGAAGTACCTAGAAAGATCTAAAAAACAAAATCATAACCACAAAGTTTAGTGAGTCTCCAAAAACACCACATCCCATACGTAAGATGGTGCATGCTATGGGCCAAGTCATAGTCTTACAGTCGCTTCTTGTCATGGGCCAAATCATGGTCTTTCCTTGTAATGTCAAGGGCTAGATATGGGTCTTATATACAAGCACAATGGGTCACTACATTGTCTTCCATGTAAGTATCACAAAGAAAACTAGCATCCTACATGATGTCAGGGCCAAGATCTGATCTTAAATACATTTGACAAGGGCTAGATTGTGGTCTTTTATACAATTGTCAGGGGTCAGCTCTTCGTATTTCATATAATTGCCAAGGGTCACACCCTGTTCTTCCATGCAAGTATCAAAAAAACAACTAACATCCTACATAGATCTATACTCGATTTTATGATTTGTATTTTTTTTCAATTTTTTTAAGGTGTCCTCACGAGTCCTCACTTTAAAATGAGTCCTCATCCGATCCTATATATATATATATATATATATATATATATATATATATATATATATATATATATATATATACTAGGTTATAACTCATGAGCACCACAAATTAGAAATTAATTTTTTTAATTAAAATGTACTTATTTATTTAAAATTAATAATTGATAATAATTATTGTAATCATTAAAGTTTATATGTTTTGTAATAATAAGATAACGACATAACTAATGGTTAAAAATACAAACCGGTAGTGGTTTGAATATGCAATTGGCATTTTGTATTTGTAGATATGCAAAAAAAAAAAAATTATAATTTTATGAAATGAAATATAAATTTAACAAAAAAAAACAAATAACGAAATTTATAAGAATAATAAAATTGTACAAATTTTTTTACAAATTTCTAAAAACTTATTTATACACAACATTAGAAGTTTTATTTGTTAGTCTATCATCTTTATCTAAAATCAACAATTTTAATCTTTCTCTACTTTGAACTCTCGATAAAGCAACATACAATTGATCATGTGTGAAAACAGACTCTTTAAGGAACAAACCAACCTTCGATAGAGACTATCATTGGCTCTTATTAATTGTCATTGCAAAACACATAGTCAATGTATATTGTCTTCTTTGGAATTCTAACGAGATCTTGTCTTCAAAAGGAGTTAAAGACATTCTTGGAATAAAAGTCTGGTTTCTAATATTACTTCTAGATAAGATAACTGCCTCAGTAACACGTTTGCCCACAGATTTAACCTGTACTCTAGTACCATTACATAATCCATTTTTTAGATCAATGTTTCTCAATAACATAACTGGGACACCGACTTTTAAAATGAGCTTATGGTTTGGAAGACCTGAGACTTTAAGACCATTTAAAACATCAGGTGAGTATAACTTTGCATCGAACTAATCATGAACAAACTTGGATTGGCATAGGCTATCTGAACTTAAGTATTCTTTTTGTTCTCCTGGAAACAATGACAACAAACAGTCGTTTATTTCTTGGACAACTTCATTATTGGGAGCTAGTATTGCTCATTCTTGAAAATAATCAACAATGTTGAAGTTTTCCAATATAGAAAGATATACAAAACTGATTAATGAACCTATAGGATCATGTGGATTAGTAATAACAATATCTGTAGAGAATTGAGAAGCGGACACGTGGAAGGATGGTGCATAATGAAGTGAAACATGGCATTTAGGGGAGACAATTATTAGGAATGAAGATATATATATATATATATATATATATATATATATATATATATATATATATATATATTCTCATAATCGATATGAGTACATATATGTTTGTTAGCATATATTTAGGAAGCTACTATAATTAGATTAAAGTTAGAATAGTTCTCATAATTTAATTTGGTTTGTCCTAACTTTTAGATATATGCATTTCTCTTATTTTCTCAATAGATAGTATTAGATCATTCATTGAAGAGGTTTTTCCAAAAAAAAATCATGTTATAATTAAGATCAAACCATATATTGTAGTTTTTTTTCTAGTTAATTAAATTTAGTTAATTAAATTGTTATATTGCTTTTTTTTAATGATTTTTTTTTGATGATTTTTTTAAATTAAGGGCAAGTTCGTTTATAAATAGAATTTATGTCTAATTAGAGTTATATTGTAGACAAAACTACAAAATGGTCCCTGTAGTATGCATTTTTTCTGAATTTTCGTCCAAACGTCGATTTTTTTGGGTTCTTGGTCTTTTTGATCATGTTTCTATATGAAAATGATCCCCGTTAAACATAAAACAACTAATATACTATTTTAATATGTTTTCATCATTTTCTTAAACACTTGTATCTTTTATTTTCAATATTAATGTAATAATAAATAAAGTGAGTTTCTCTCTCTCTCTTTCTCTCTCTCTCTCTCTCTCATCATGTACCACATCGAATATGAATTAAGTTCCTCAACAAACTTCATATATATCATTCAACAAACACCAATTCTTCATTCCACCCTCGTTTTTATCCGGTTTCCACTAAAATTTAATGTTCGGCACATTTTTTTCAACAAAAGCACAAATTTGACTTTTCTTTAGATTAAATGCTTTGACCATTTTGACTTGTTCCATGAACCCAAAATCCATCGAACCATAAATTCAATTAGGATCTTATTTATCACTTCGATAAACACTATACAATCATCATCATCAATAATCTCTAGATCAAACAACATACCAAAAAAACTTTCATGTTCTTGATTGTTCTTCAAAAATAACTACACCTACTTTAAAGCTCAAACCTTTCAACCAAACAAAAACATACACACATAAAAAAAAACCCCAACTGAACAAAAAAAAAATCCAACTAAACCCTTCATCTCCATCTACCATCAACCTGTATACAAATTCAAGTAATGAACTTCTCAGAAAACCCATTTCGTTTGAGCACTTCCTATGTATAAATTTTACTAGGGTTCTTCATGTAATGGAACAAAAGTGTCATGTAATACAGGTATTACAGAGTCAATACGAGTTGTATTGAAATACCCATTTGTTGATAACCACGATCTGACGACCGGAGGTGACAGACGAAACAACATCTGAAAACTCATTTGTCTTATTTCTGTTCCGGTTATCCCCTCCGTCATTGTCATCTTCTTCAAACACCCGATAGAATTTCGTGAATTGTCATGATTCTGAGGATCTGAGGGCGATGCTTACCCAATAATTATCATCGAGATTGAGCAAATTAAAATGATCTAGACAACATTTGTACAAAGAAATCAGAACATGAAGATGAAATTGATAACATATTAACATAACATTTCGTCATAAGTTGGTATTACAGTGTTAGGAGTGGATTAATCGAAGATAAAAACGTAAATAGAGAAAATGAAAATGAATCTCATTAGAAATTTCGATGTGTGTGTGTGTGTGAGAGAGAGAGAGAGAGAGAGAGAAAAAGAGAATCTAGTTTATTTATCATTACATTAATATTAAAATAAAAGATAAAAGTGTTTAAGAAAATAAGGAAAACAAATTGAGATATTAGTCATTTTAAGTTTAACAGAACCATTTCCACATAGAAATATGGTAAAATGACCAAAAAAAAAATCAAGGTTTGGACGAAAACTGAAAAAAATACATATCACAGAGACCATTTTTGCAGTTTGTCTATATTGTATTTTGCATTTTCCCTGTATGATTAAATTTGCCATAAATATTTTTAAACAAAAATAAAGACATGTTTAATTAACAGCTAGAAGCTGGAAGTTGTAAGTAGCAACTATTATTGAAAAACTATAAATGTATAAATTAATTAAAACTATTAAAATAATCGGTTTTTTAACGTATAAAATTAATTAAAAACTGAATGGTAAAACTCTAAAAAAAAATTATAAATATGTAAAAGTTATTTGAAGTAGTTTTTGGATTTGAAATAAAAGATGAAAAATACTGCTTTCAACGAAGCTTTATTTTTTTTCAAAATTTTTCTAGAAAAATTAAATGAAACTTTTAAAAACTTTCAACATAACTCACCCTACAAATAAATCAAATAAATAAAATCTCAATTGGCTTCAAATAAATGTTTGATTGCTATGTGATCCCACATTATCCAAAAATGGACACCTAGCCCACTTAAGATGATGGGCTAAAATATTTCTTGATCTCGTCTGACAAGTGACAACAACTTATTCAATTAACAAGTAAAATTTAATCTATTCTTTATTTTACTTCTTGGGAACGAAACTCTTAAGACCTTGTCTGAAATCTTGATCTCCCTTCAAAAAAACAAAGAAATCTCGATTTCCCTTCGCCAATTTCCTTCGGATCATCGACTAAGGTAAAAAGTCAAACATAAAATCATCATCTTCTTCCTCAAATCTACTTATTTTCAAGATTCCTTCAGCAGATTAGTAGTAATTACTTCAAACTTTACCCATATAGTCGAATTAGTTTCGTATTTCTACTTGGGATTTTCTTAATCATATACATGTCTCTGTTTCTGTCTGTTCTTGATTAATGTTTGCAATCAGTGAACTGGGGGCTTCGTCTATTGAATTAATGACAACTTAATTCACTTAAAGATTCGAACTTCGGAATTATCGTGTGATTCTTTTTTGTGGGTAAATTAATTTATGAAGAAATTCTTTACTCGAAGTTGCTTAAACTTGTAGATCTTACAGTTTTTGAGAAAGATTGGTGTTTTCTTGATGTATGTGCTTTATTATTGCAGCTTAATTCATAAATCAGAATTTAAATATTGTTTTCAGGAGATAGATCTTGTTTTTCGTACAATGTTCTATCGATTATAGAAACTTGGAATCATGGATTCTTTCATTTTTCATGTTGTTTTTCATTAATCGATGCTAAATGCTTGTGTTGATGATAGGTCTTGGGCAAATTCAATAAGCTCAAATGTCTGAAACAAACAACCCAATGCCCTCAAAGGAGCAAGAGGTAAGTTCTCACACATTAGATTTTTGTTAGGAGTAAATTCAAGAAATTGAAAAGTACTTTTATTTATGTGTATTATAGCATCCTACTTTCATTTGTAGTTTTTAATTATTATTTTTTTTATCTTATCAAGTCATTGTAGTTTGAAAAATCTTGTGAATTGTGACATTGTACAATCGAGTTTTTTCCTTTATTTGAACATTATATTTTGAAAAATCTATCCATTTATATAGGTGACAATTTCTTTGAATTTGGATGATATTGCTATAACAAAACAAATCGCAGCTATTTTTTCATTTAATCTTTTCGTTATTCGTTTTGCAAATTTCAAGTGGTTTTTGCCACATTATCTTTACGTGATCTTCTAAAAGCTTCTTAGATTTGTTTATATCTAAGCGATTTGTATAGTATAAAAAAGGCATAATATTTGTATTTTGTTTTTCTATTTATAGCAAGATTTGTGTGTTGTGCAGGAAGCCGTAATCAAGAAAAAGTATGGAGGATTGTTGCCAAAGAAAAACCCTTTGATCTCAAAGGTAAAAGTTTCCTTTTTTTTTTTTTTTCTATTTTTTTATATTGAGAAAAAAAAAAGGGTAATAAAGTTTCGGTTTTGATTTTTGACATATTTCTTGGTCAAATCTTGGATAGGATCATGACCGGGCTTTTTTTGATTCTGCTGATTGGGCATTGGGAAAGGTAATTAAACTAATCAAATTTATCAACTCTAATTCTATAATCTTTTAGCATGAGTAATTATGGAGTAATAATCTAATGTGGTTATTATTTGTGCAACAGCAAGGATCACAGAAGAGCAAAGGACCATTAGAGGCCCTCCGCCCTAAATTGCAGGTATTTTGAATGACTTATGATAAAATACAAAAATGAAAATAACCGAAAATTACTTCCTAATATAGAAATGTGATTTTCTAATATTTTTTCTTCTATTATCAGCCGACACCACAACAGCAATCCCGCTCAAGGCGATCCGCTTATGCCCCGGCAGGCGAAGAAGGTTGGTTGATCCTTATGTTGAAAGGGTAGACTCGACATATAAAAAGGCAGATGAGACTGTGTTTAACCGATGTGGGACATGCTAACACACAGTTTGAGACAGAGGCTCGATGAGATTAGATTATATATGTTGAGCCTTGAGGTGTGCCAGACATATGCTCTGATACCATGTTAGATATGTGAAGTGCTGGATTTTCTCTCCAAAAGAGCCTTAAAAGGAGAGAGTGGAGACTTTAATGTATAGAGGCAGATGGGACACATACTGTGTCCCATCTGTCTATCTGAATATATTGGAGTCTCCACTCTCTTCTTAAGGGCATTTTTGGAGAGAAAATTCAGTACTTCAAATATCTAACATGGTATCAGAGCATATGTCTAGCGCACCTCAAGGCTCAACATATATAATCTAATCTCATCGAGTCTCTGTCTCAAACTGTATGTTAGTGTGTCCCACATCGGCTAAACACAGTCTCATTTACCTCTTTATATGTTGAGCTTTGAATCTAGAACTTTGTAATAGTTTAAGCTTTTTAAACAAATTGCGTTTTTTAATTTTTACAGTGGATGGTGGTAATGGAAATCATAATGCCTCGGAAGAGGATATGGATAATGATGAAAAGTCTGATACTAAAGATGAAGACCAACCGATTTAAGTGACTTTGTCATTTCTATGATCGATTGTATGATGCTTAATGTTACTAGATATGTGCTTTGGAAGCATTTGATCAGGTTGATGATACCATATATCGTATTGTTGTATGTTCGAGAGTTTTACCATCAGGCAATAATAAGCTGCTTAATCTTTGTTTGAATTTCTTTATATTTTTATGCTTCATGTTATATCCATAATCCTAATTCAAGTTGATACAAAGATTTTCCATTTTGGATATATATTTCTCATCATATTAAACTGCATTCATATACGAAAACGTATCTTTTTATAATGTTGTCATTAACTTTCTTTTTGACTGTAGTGATTAAAGCCTTATATGTGTTTTGAATTGTTGATTTATATATGCTTTGAATTGTTTAACATTTATATTCTTTTTGAACAAGACAAATGAAGTCTTGAGGGTTTAATCGCTAGTCATGCCAAAACAAAGTTGAAGAACTTATCCATAAAGTTTTGAAAAAGCACTGTGTTTTTTGTATTTTGCCATTTAGAAGATTTTGTATTATAAATCAAAATATTCGATTATATGGTATAATTGGATTTAAATAAAAATACAAATGATTTTGAAACTAGAAAGTATTGAAAACACTTCCCTTAGGGAGGAGGGAGTCATTCCCTTCCAACCTACTGAATCCACTGTCACATCACTTTTTTTCTTTTATTTTTCTTCATCTTTTCGAACCCACAACACACGGAAACCCTACTTTTGAACCCACTCAACCCATTCAATTAAAAAAAATACAAAACAATCAAATATAAAATCTTAATTAGCAATAGAGTTATCGGCGGTCGCACTTACGCTTTAACGAGTGGGTTGATTGATTTCACTAACCCACTTCATCATCTTTCTCTACTTTCTCTTTCTTGTTTTCTCTTGTATCATGTGTTTTAAAACTTGTACCTTAGTTGTTTTGTAATTTTTTTTTAATTGAGTGAGCTCAAAAAGATAAGGTCTTTATATGTTGTGGGTTCGGAAAAATGAAGAAAAAAAAAAGAGAAAAAGTGATGTGGCAGTGGGTTCAGTGGGTAGGGAATGACTCCCTCCCTTATAATAATATGCGTCCAAGAACAACACTCTAAAAATTTGCATATATATCAGTGATATAGAGGTGAGCATTTGAATTGGACCCTAACCAGTTATTAGACATTAGAGGGAAAAGTGTGGACCGTGGAGCTGTCGATGTATATTGTGCCGGTATGGTTCCGGTTTTTCTGGTTCTTGTATGTGTTGGGAAGATAAAACATTAGTTGTGTATGGTACAAGTCGTGAAGCAACAACTGAAAACATTTCAACTCTAATGTCCCAATTTTTTTTTTTTTTTGGTGGTGGTGGGTTGGAGGGGGGGGGGGGGGGTTGAAATAATACATTGAATATATAACGAAAAAAATGATGAAACTCAAGTAAAAACTCTAAACTATATGCTAAAAAATATCAATGGTCAATCCAACTTAAAACAAATGTCGTATGCATCTCTTAAGAATTTCACACATTAAAATATATTGAGGCTTGAGGCTTTTAAATTACGGTCCAATACCTAGAACCGGCCGGACTGAATTGGTAAATAACCAACCTATTCTTTAAATTGATACCGGTGTAGGTACTGTTTCCGTTCCAATATGATTTGGAGGTCCAAACGTACACCCCTATGATGATTTATCTTATTTGTTTTGATCTCTCAATGTTACAATATATACATAATGTGATCTCTATCTATAATGATTTGTCTTATTTGTTTTGATATTGGTGCACCAGCTAGTCTTACGGCTCATTACCGGCTCAACAAAAATTATGATGGCGTGGTCACGCTCATTCAAGTGTTAGATCCTCTACCAAACTTCTATAAAGGATGATCGAAACTGGTTCCTGAAGAAACTCGCAAGGAGAAACAACCAACCTATGTTGCTACCTTAGCTTTACTAACCACCACCGCCTCACATCCTCTAGTTTTTCTTCTTCCGATAGCCTATATTCCTATCCACTTACAAGGATGTCGCCACGTTTAAAAAAAAAGTTAAACCTAGTCGTGGTTGTGGTTGTGGAGGCAGATCTTTGTCCAATGTCACAAACCTTTTTAGGGACCATTTTTGCCATGGGCTTGGGACCAACAACCATGGATGATGCCTTTCCCTTACCCAACGACATCTTGGACTTAATTACCTACTCCATATAATGCCCCCAAACTTCTTGAATTGCAACCTCAACATGCCTACAATACCAAACAAACTTGTCATCCTCATATTTTCCAACCAACATTGCCCAAGCAATGTATGCTATATCCTTACATATTCCTAATGAAAACTTTTAAGTTTGACACCGGAGCCCCATCTCCTATGATTAGTTCTCAAGATAACCTTTATTCCTATTTCAAATTGAATAACTTAAACAAAAACATTATTGTAGGTAATGGTCGAAATTGAATAACATAAACAAAAACATTATTGTAGGTAATGGTCGTGAATTCTAATTCATGGTTATGAACATTCTAATTTTCCTCCACCTCACCTTCTTGTTCATTTAAAAAATGTCTTTCACTCACCTTATCTTGTCAAAAATCTTATCCATGTTCTTTGTATTTCTATTGATAATAACATTTGTAACACCGGTTTTTCGAAGAGTTTTTTATTTAAGAAGTTTCTTAATATTTACATATTTTAGGTGTGACCATTACGAAACGAATATGTGTAAGGATGTTAAGACCAAAGGGTATGGTTTAGAGATATTTACGCGTTTTAGGGTGCCACATCATCTAAAAATTCACTCCATTAGATGTTTACTAGTAATGGGGGTGGTGTTCATTGGTGAACATCTAGTGAATAAGAGAAAGAAAAAGAAAAGGAAGAAAGAGAAAAGGAAGAGAGAGGAAGAGAAGCGGGAGGAATGATTGGGGAATCCTATTATCAGTCAATAAAATTGTTCGTAATCATCCCTGAATGGTATCAATCCGCGTCATATTCACCATAAGGGGGGGGGGGGGGGGGGGGTGTTCACGTGTAGAAACCCCCCTCCAAGTCACCTTTTACGCGTGGAAAACCATGACATACCCTATGGCCTAATATTAGAAATTTCGTAAAATTTGATGGAGGTTAAGAATCCAAGGGTGTAAGCCTAATTAAAATTTTAAATATTAAGAATGACAATTAATTATTATTTGGAGACTTGTGTAGATAAAAATAAATGAATAAATATGCTTCCGGGATATAAGAAAAGTAGACCACACTAGCTTGCAACCTTGAACTTAATGTAAGAAACTAAATATTATGAATTGAGAAATCAAATATCCATCTATTTTTATTAAACAGAATGATATTTTAATTTCTCTAATGAATTTATAATACTACAATACGAGTTGTGGGCCTTCAGCTTCTTCGACTGTTGCCCATCAAACATCATCTTTAAAGTTTTAAACTAGTTATAAGCCCATAAAATAAATGCTGAAAAGTGATAACATATAAATGTGTATAAGCCCAAGATAAAGAAATTACTCTACTCCAAATTTGTTTTTCTTAAATGACAAAGCGGAACATCTCAAAATAACTTACCCACAGATAAATTTAATTTTTGCAATAAAAACGGCTACAAAATGGAATTGTTCAAACTCAATTTTAAGCCTCTTGGCATAAAATATATACAAACAAATGCATTTTAATCATAGTAACATGATATAACGATTAAGGTAATGTAACAAAAGTCATCAAAATTGTTTTTTCAATAGCTTGTCGGGTCAAATATAAGCTCTTGAAAGTTTAAAATTTGTTTTATTTTACAACTTTCTTCGTTTTCGAGTTTTTTCAAATCGATTGAGATTTAATAAGTTCTTGATATGAACTATTTCCAATCATTATAGTGGGTCCCATAATTTGCAGCAAATTATTAAATAACTAATTTATAATGCACAAAATAATATAATTGCATATTAGTGGATCTATAAATAAGTTGATGAAAAAAACTCTCATAGGATATTTTCATTTAAAAAAAAGTTAATAATAAGCTTTATTATTATGGATGCTCTTTTACTCATGAATTTAGAAACCGAATGTATATTCATTTTTAAATTAAAAAAAAAAAAAATTCATGTCTAAAATAACAACCAGTAATATTCATCTAATCAATTTAGTTTTGGGTCACTAATTTTTTTAAAGCAACTAACACAAACACTCATTACCCTACTCCTAAGTGTGGAAGATATCCACTTTTCTCACATCTTTCAAACCATTTGTTTGACATTGGTGTGAAATCATTTTTTCTTTCTCCTCTCACTCTCACCTATCTTATTCCATAATATATGAAAACTTGTCTTTTTCATTACTCCCAATTCATTTATTTATTTTTTATTTTAAAATAATTAATAACATACAAAACTAATTCACAAAATACTAGAAACATACAAAACTAATTTACAAAATAATTAAAAACATAAAAATGACTTTTTGGTAAAACTTTTTATGCATGAAGTACCGATAACCAACACATAGATATAATAAAAAGAGAGTTTAGAGATCGACACAACCAACAGATAAACTAACCTGCAATTGTCTTCATTTGGTGGTACCATGGCTCACCGAATCTATTGACATGGCAGCACCGCCGACCATCTACCCCGCCACAACCACAGCTCCGTCCACCCTAAATACATATATCATCCTAAGTATGGCATGAAACCTCAATCTATGGTTAATGATACATTTTCATCAACATCGGATACTGTTAGATAATAATAAATTATTAATTTGGTTCTCAATAAATCATTCGAATGAATTTCTAACAGGACTTCACAAACGATTCAATACTAAGTGAACACAAGTAAATACATTATATCATATTAGATGCTACACTAGACTTCATAAAACATTCAATACTAGGTTATCCGAATAAAATCTACCCTAAATGGAGCAATGAGATCCCAAAAAAGTTATCAATAGGTCTATTTGATACCGTTAAATCATAAATAACTTAAGAAAACAAATTACTACTATCGGTTATTATTTTATAAAATTAACTCATAAGTAAAATACCCGAAACAAAACTGACCCGACATCAAATTCAATTACAGTTTGATGCAACCACCGACATCTCCCGATTGGTGTGCTACGTTGGACCAAAGAAATAAATAATAGGTACACTTTCTCTGCTAACATTGTAAGAATCCCCTTCATAAATATGCAACCTAAACTACACATTTAATTCTTGTTACAAACATCTTTTAAAGACATGTGGGGGTTGAAAACACTTATCATTACCCTTCATTTTGGGTGGGACCAAAGTTCTTACCCACAGTATTTGATGAAACAGTCATATGGTACAAAATAATAAATTATCATTGCATTTATGATTAT